TCCTTCTTGAAACATGATTGTTACAGCTGAAGTCAATTGTAACTTGGGCCTTAGGAGTACCTCCTGGAGTAAGGATATGAGTTCCCTGAGGAAGATAAGATCACAAGCCATGGTTTTATTTTCTAGGTCTCTCCCCAGAAGGTAGCTAGCTACCTACCTTGGAGCGGAATCAACCTTGGGGGATGCCCTGGGGACACCCTAAGGGCATAGAAATCTAGCGGGGACTTATGGGAGGCTGTATTTGTTTCTCTTGTTTCAGACTGGGAACTCCATATCTGAACCTCTATTCTTTGGAATGTATTAAGGAGCAATTTAGTGTTTCTGTACCTTGAACATGGTGTGCCTTCCTCCTAAAGCCAAGTACACAGAGGAAAGTACTATGATGCTATCTCACAATTAGAATTATACTGTAAGAGGGGAAATGGTCTCAATCAGTCTTATGTTGAGACTTTCTTTACGTTAAGAAGTAATTCTTAGGGCTGGGGATTTAGCTCAGCGGTTCAGTGGCTTGCCTTGCAAGCACAAGGACCGGAGTTCAATCTCCGGTACCCCCCAAAAAGAAGTAATTCTTGGGCCAGGGATTTAGCTCAGTGGTTCTGCCACCTGCCTCAAAAGTGCAAGATCCAGAGTTCTCACATAAAAAAAAAAAAAAAAAAAAAAAAAAAAAAAAGTTAATCCTTGCTTGTGTTCAAATGTAAATGTGGGCCATAGAAAAATAAGACACCTCACCCTTAAGACATTCACTACCTCTAAACCCAAGGCTACTCTTCACCCTTTAGAACCTGAGAACAAGTTTCCAAGACAACTTTAAACCTTGACACCTAGGTGCCAAGAGTGGAGTTTCTAGGCCAGCCTTAATTAAAACCTCCTTGAGCCAGGCATAATCCCAGCACTTGGGAGGCTGAGACAGGAGAATTGCTGTGAGTTCAAGACCAGCCTGGGCTACATAGTGAGTTCCAGATCAGTCTCAACTACATAGTGAGACCCTGTCTCAAAAAAACAAAGAAAACAAAAACCTCCGTGAGGCTATATCCATCCTTAGCAAAGTTATTCAGATCCCTCATAGACAATATCCCTTGCAGGAAGTAAATAGCAATTATGGGACTATCTGCGTTAATGTGTCTTTTTCTCTCAGTGATCTAAGATGGGTTAAATGAGAGCTAAGAAAGTTTTGAGGGGCCGGGGATTTAGCTCAGTGGTTCTGCTGCCTGCTTAGCAAGCACAGGGTCCAGAGTTCAATGCCTGGCACCAAAAAAAAAAAAAAGTTTTCAGATGACTCTGATTTGCACATTGAGGTCTTTAGAGGACTTACTCAGACCTATGGACTAGAAAGATGTAGTATTGCTCTTAAATCAAATGAGAGACAAGTAGTATTACAAGCTGCTGCTACATTTAGAGACAAATATTAATTTTGGATGCTCAAAAGACAGGCATCCAGGGCCAGGGATTTAGCTCAGTGGTGCTGCCACTTGCCTTGCAAGCACAAGGTTCCCAGTTTGATCCCTAGTACCAAAACCAAAAACAACAACAACAAACCCAACAACAAAAATATACAAAACAACCAAAAAAAGACAGGCAACCAGGGAAACAATTGGTTCCTGCTGGAACACAGGCAGTCCCTATACACAACTCCCACTGGCCTGGCAATCAGGTAAGAGATTAAATAGACATTTTCAAGCATTTTTTTTTCTTTTCTTTTTGGTACTGGAGTTTGAACTCAGGCCCTTGTGCCTCCAAGACTGGCGGTGCAACCACTGTGCCAAATCCCTGGCACTCAAGCATGTATTCTTGAAGGTCTAAGAAACATGAGAACTAAGCCCTTCAGTAAAATTGTCAACTATTTATCAAGAAAAGGACAAGGAAAGCCGGGCATGGTGGTGCACGCCTGTAATCCCAGCACTTGGGAGGCTGAGGCAGGAGGATCGCTGTGAGTTTGAGACCAAACTGGGCTACACAGCAAGTTCCAGACCAGTTTCAACTACATAGTGAGACCCTGTCTCAAAAAACCAAAAAGCAAACAAAAAAGAGAAAAAAGAAAGAAAAAGATGAGGGTATTCCTGGATGCTGATTTGATAAAAAGAAAATACTATAGCTTTTCCCAAGTCACAGTCTTGGAATATGTAGATAATATAGTGTTATGTTCCCCCTTAGAAGAGCTTTCTAGCCAAGACTCTGCTGGATTTTCTAGCAGACAGATATTATAATGTTTCTAGATCTAAGGCACATCTTTGCAGCCTTGAGGTAAAATATTTAGGCCTTTTATATCTAAGGGAACCCAAAGACTGGAGGAAGAAAGAATTAAACTGATTATTTCCTTTCCACAGCCCAAGACTCAACAACTAAGGAGATTCCTAGAAATTACAGGCTTTTGTTGCCTTTGGATAGCACATATAGTGAGATTGTGTGACTCTTCTATCAGCTTATAGAGAAATCCAAAAGGCAGCCATATTTTAACCTGGGAACCTTATTCCCAGACCACATTTCAGAAGTTCAAACAAGCACTTGCAAGTGCCTGCCTACGGGACACCATTTCAGTTCGTATGTTAAGAAAAGGTGAGATGTGGCTTTAGGAGTGTTTCTACAAGATCAGGGACCTGCTCAACAGCTTTTAGGGATTTAAATAATAAATTAGATATTATAGATTCAGAGTAATTCATTCAAAGGATAAGAGCTAAGCAATATCATTCGAAGCTGACCTTCACTTATTTCTGGGCCATATAGAAAACTGGTCTAGGTTTAATCCTGAAACTCTCAAAAATGAATATAAAAATTTTAGTCCAACTGTATCTGTTTTTCAGCCCTTAGGCAAAATTAGAATGGTGGCTGGGGGAATTTAGTTCAGTGGTTCCACCTGCCTCACAAGCGCAAGGTCCGGAGTTTGATCCCTGGTACAAAAAAACAAAAGAACACAAAATTAGAATGGGAAGAGCAGCTCCTGGCTCTGGCCACTTCCTTGCACTTCCAGTTCACCACCACTGGCACTGGATGGGGTAATGTCTAAGGGAACCTCAAATTGTGCACAGAACAAGAGGGATAGGCTGAGATGCCTTCTTTCCCTTTGTTTCTTTTAAAGTTAACTCGTGCTTTGGAAATACCTAGGCGAGAAGGAATGTGTTTCCTGGAGAAGACAGGGCAGATGCACTGAGGGAGGGTGGCTGGCTAGTCCGTGCCTGGATTATCTCCTGGTTTCCTCAAGAGAGCAGCTACCTGTGCTGAAGCGAGTCACCTGGTGATCCCTTGGGGATTTGTGAATCAAGTAGAGACTTTAGGGATGCCGGTCTGTTTCTCTCATTTCAGTCAGGAGACTCCATATCCAAACCTCTCATACCTTTAGAATGTATTCTTAAACATTGGAAAATGTTCCAGCCTCACATACTGAGAAAGATTTTTCTGCCTACCCGCTAGAGCTAATCCCCTCCCTGTTTGGAATTCATACTTAGCTCCAAGGGGTATCACTTAGGCCCCTTCTATACCCAAACCTGGCCTGCAAGCAACCCCCTGGAGATAGTTAAAATTACCTTTAGGGCTAGGGATTCAGCTCAGTGGTTCTGCCACCTGCCTCACAAGTGTAAGGTCTCGAGTTTGATCCCCAGTACCAAAAAAAAAAAAAAAAAAAAAAATTACCTTTAACAGTCTGTCCCTTTACAGGGAACAATTACATGTGGCTATCAAACAGCTATGGTTATCAAAGCAACAACGAGAAGCCTGTTTAGCTGGATATTCCAGTCAGTAAACTGTCATCTTAGGGCCCATCTTAAAATGGGCTTTGCTTTCACAGGTATAGAAGATTTTTATTCCTTTTGATTCTTATGACAAGAGATCTCTGTTAATTAACCTTCAAAGTTCTGACTAGTCTTATTTATAGTTACAAACCTAAAAATTACGAAAGGGTTATTATAATTCAACTTGGCCAAATACATCCGAGTGCACTGTAAACCAAACAAGTTCTCTTATGTGTGTCTGTCTGTTCAATTAGTACAACATGTACAGCTGTTTTGTATGAGTGCAACAACTTTTTTTTTTGTAGAGGGGACTGAATTTAGGACTTTGCACTTGCAGGGCAGGTGGCCGCACCACTGAGCTAAATCCTCTGCCCACTTTGGATTTTTTTAAATGTTTGCTTGTAACTCAGGTTGGCTTATAAATGTCACTAAAGATGTGCTTCTCCCCAGGCTGCCAGATGACCCAAACGGTGTCAAAACTGGTTTTATTAATACAGTACATATTGTCTATGTAGAGTAACTTGGGAATCTTTCATTGGTAAAAAATTATGTGTTAATTGTTATGATCTGGCTCTCATAGATCATCTAAAGATTTGTTAAGATGATTAAAGACTCTTGGGCTTAAGCAAACTATTGGACAGGACTCCCCTTGGTAAATAAAGGAGTGGCTGCCTGGAAAAATTTATTCAAGCCTTTGTTCACAAAGGGGACCCCAATAGCCTTGTGGAAAATACATTACTAAACACCTTATTGTTATATGTATACATTGGTCATGGTTAAATGCCTAAGTTTTCTGTGGGAAAGAAATAAGTTTTTGTTTTGTTTTGTTTTCCACCAGGGATTGAACTCAAAACCTTGCACTTGTGAGGCAGGTGGTGGCACCACTGAGCTAAATCCCCAGCATTGAGGTTTTATTTATTTGTTTTTGTTTTGTTTTTTTGAGACAGGGTCTCACTGTGTAGTTGAGACTGATCTGGAACTATGTAGCCCAGGCTGGTCTTGAACTCACAGCGATACTCCTGCCTCAGCCTCCCAAGCACTGGGATTACAGACATGCGCCACCCTTCCCGGCAATAAGGTTTTATTTAAAATGCTCTCAGGTCATGGATTAAGCTCAATGGTGCCACCACCTGCCCTGCAAGTGCAATGTCCTGAATTTGATCCCCAATACAAAAAAAAAAAAAGTGTTCTTGGTATAAAAAATTAAGGGACAAACATTTTCATGTAACTAATACTCATTGTGTATTTCATGGTGTATACATTCATGCCTTCCTGTAGGAAACCAAGCATGCCTTCTCAGAATCAAGAGACCATCTCGTGCCCACCCAGAAACCAGCTATGGCTCAAGCAACGGTATTTTTATCTTCGCAAGAACATCCTGTTTCAGTAACTTCGCCCCTTTGGAAACCCCCTAAAAAATGTACCGCCCCTCCTGCCTCTACCCGAGCCTTTCTTCCCCGCCATCTTGCCGTTAAACAGCTATGCATAATGAGAATAAACGAGACCTTGACAAGCCTCTGCTTGGTCTCCTTCTTTCTGCGTCTTCTCTGGTCCTATTTCTAGGTATCTCCCCCTCTCGAGCCCTACTAATTACTGACCCCGCTGGCCGGGACAAGTGGCGCCCAACGTGGGGCTCGAGATACGGGGTCTTCACTTGGTGGACATTGCTCGGAAGATCGGCCGATCGACCCCAGGACCACCGCCCACCCGGCGAGCTTGGATCCATGAACAGTCCACTCAGCATAACCCGCCTGAGAAAGCGACCTGTGAAGTAATTGAGCAATGTGAGACATGGGACAAGAATTGAGCAAACATCAATTGTTCGTTGAGGGTTTAAAATCCTCCTTAAAGATGTGGGGAGTTTGGGTAAAAAAGAAAGATTTAATTAAAATTTTTAAGTTTGTGGAAGAAACCTGTTCTTGGTTCCCGCTAGAGGGAACTATTGATGAAAAACGTTGGAATAGGGTAAAAGATTGTTTCAATGATTATTACCGAGTTTTCGGGCCTGAAAAGGTCCCTATACAGGCATTTTCTTATTGGAATATGATTAATGAGATATTACAATAGAGACATTTTCATTCCGATGTCAAAGATGCCATTGCTGAATCTGAAAAATTTTTAAAGGCCGAATTTAAACAAGGTCAGACCCCTTCCCCTCCTTCTGATCCCCTTCCTCCCCCGCATAGTCCCTCTCCCTGTCCTTCTGTTGTAGTCCCTATAATAGATCCTGAAGATTCTCATTTCCCACCCACCCGGGAGCCTCAATCCATCTATCCCGCTTTGACTGATTTTAATTCTTCTCATAGTAATAATGAAAATGAGTCTTTAAATATTTTACAGTCCCCTTCTCAGGCCTTTAAGGCCCCTAATTCATCCCCCTTACCCTTGCCTACACAGCCCCCTCCCTACCGTTCTCCTCCCCCCTCTCCTTTTTGTGCCTCCGCCCTCGACCTTTCCTACCCCATAACCTCCGATCTCCAAACCATCACCCGACAGACTAAAATAAGACTTTCTGATGAAATAAGATCCTTCCAAGAAATTTTACAAATCCAAAAAGAACATAATGATCTTTTAGAACAAATTCGTTCCCTAAACCTTGATTTGGCTGGTTCCCCTTCCAAAGCCCTGCAACTCCCTCTTAAATCTAAAATCAAACCCAAAACATATCAAGTTTTTCCGGTACTTCGCTCTCATACAAATCAAACCGATGAACAGGGTCCTTCCTTACAAGAGGAAGAACAAAATAGTTCAGATGAGGACCCAGAGGAACTTGAGGAAAACGCTCATGAGTCCCCAAACCCTTCTGACTTGCCCAGCCAAACCGAAAGTCCAAAATATCGCCAATTAAAATTTAAGCATATTAAAAATCTTAAAAGTGCCACCGCCCTCTATGGGCCGTCGGCCCCATTCACATTATCCCTCATTGAGTCGCTCAACGATGGGGGATGGCTCACCCCTAATGATTGGCATCTTTTGGCCAAGGCCGTTCTCTCCGGGGAAATTTTTTACTCTGGAAAGCGGACTTCACTGAAAGATGTCAAGTGATGACCCCTCGCAACTCCAGTGCGGGAGGCAATTAAAAAACCTGGACACTTTCAAAAATGTTGGGCAATGCTCCTCATGACTCCAATGAGACACAGGCTCAATTCCCTCCCGGGCTTCTGAGTCAAATTAAAGATGCAGCCTTTTCGACATGGCAGAGCCTACCCTCTAAGGGATCAATTACTTCCTCCCTTTCTAAAATTCGTCAGGGTACCAATGAATCTTATAGCGATTTTGTGGGACGATTAACCGATACAGCAGAAAGGCTTTTTGGTCCGGGTGAAAACGAAAGTGAATTTATTAAACAATTGGCTTATGAAAATGCAAACCCAGCCTGTCAAACGGCATTGCGTGGGCAGCGCCGCGGTAAAGAGCTCTCCGAGTATGTTAAAATTTGCTCCGGAGTTGATCCCACCTCCAGTAACATCGCCTTAGCCATCGGAGCAGCTCTAAAAGCTTCTCCACCACATGCTCCATCAAAGGTCTGCTATAAATGTAAACAGCCTGGAGATTTTTCTAGAGAATGTACTGCCCCACCCCCGAGCCGAACGCCAACCCCCCAATACCCTTTGCCCCCGCTGTAAAAAGGGCAAACATTGGGACGCCCAATGTTTTTCGAAAACTGATGCCCAAGGCACTCTCCTGCCCTCGCGGTCGGGAAACTTTTTGCGGACCCATCCCCGGGGCCCCAATCCATCGACGCAGACCACGGGGACCATCGGGTCTGTTCCCCAAAAACCCATATCTTTGAGCTCTCAAGGGCCACTTCAGGCAGCGCAGGATTGGACTTGTGTTCCGCCTCCACAACAATATTGACACCCGACACTGGCGTTGTAATCCTTCCCACCGGTGTTTATGGACCTCTACCCCCGAACACCTTTGGTTTCATTTTAGGTAGAGGCTCTTCCACTTTACAAGGACTTCATATCCTTCCCGGGATAATTGATAATGATTATACTGGAGAAATCAAATTATTGGCTACTGCTCCTTCTGGTCCCATTTCTATTTTCAAAAGTCAAAGAATTGCCCAATTAATTCTACTCCCTCTAAATTCTTCCAATCCTTGTAGAAAAGCAGACAGAGGCCCCCATGGGTTTGGGCGTTCAGATGCTTTTTGGGTCCAACAGATATCGTCGGAAAGGCCACTTTTGAAATTAAATATAGAAGGAAAATCCTTTGAAGGCCTAATTGACACGGGTGCCGATGCCACCATAATCTCCCAAAAGTATTGGCCATCATCCTGGCCTTTACAGATCTCCATCACCCATCTACAAGGTATTGGACAATCAACAAATCCTCTTCAAAGTTCTAAAATACTTCATTGGACAGATTTAGAAGGAAACCAAGGAACTACTCAGCCCTATGTTGTGCCTCATCTGCCTGTCAATTTATGGGGACGTGATATTTTATCACAAATGCAATTGTTTATGTGTAGCCCAAATGAAATTGTAGCTAGCCAAATGCTAAAACAGGGATTTCTCCCAGGTCAAGGGTTGGGAAAAGAATCACAAGGAGCAATCCTGCCCCTTCCCATTGTTTCAAAAAATGATCGCACCGGAGTAGGCTTCAAAAATTTTCCTTAGTGGCCACTGACATGCCTGCTCCCCATGCTGATAAAATCTCGTGGAAAAATGATTCACCTGTATGGGTTCATCAATGGCCCCTTCCTTCAGAAAAGTTGACAACCGCCACAAAGCTTGTGCAGGAGCAATTGGCCGCTGGACACATTGAACTTACCACCTGTCCTTGGAATACCCCAATTTTCATTATTAGAAAGAAAACCGGAAAATGGAGACTACTCCAAGATTTGAGGGAAATAAATAAAACTATGATTCCCATGGGAGCTCTTCAACCTGGGTTGCCCACCCCCATAGCTATTCCAATAGGATATGCTAAGATAGTTATTGATTTAAAAGATTGCTTCTTTAACATTCCCCTCCACCCCGAAGATCGTAAGCGTTTTGCTTTCAGTTTACCTGTTGTTAATTTTCAGGGACCAATGCCTAGATATCAATGGAAAGTTCTCCCATAGGGCATGGCTAATAGTCCAACATTGTGCCAAAAATTTGTTGCTCAAGCAGTCGATCCCCTCAGGAAAAAATGGCCCTCCATTTATATTATACATTATATGGATGATATTCTTTTGGCAGGCCCTGATAATGAATCCCTCCTTAAATGTTCCCAAGAACTGTCACAAGCCCTTACCATGCTAGGATTACAAATAGCCCCTGATAAAATTCAACTCAAATCTCCCTATTTTTTCTTGGGTTTCGAATTATTCACCAACAAGGTCTGCACCCAAAAGGTGCAACTTAGGACTGATCAATTAAAAACACTCAATGATTTCCAGAAGCTGTTGGGAGACATCAATTGGCTTCGTCCCTATTTGAAATTAACCACTGGAGAATTAAAGCCATTATTTGATATTCTCCAAGGAAATCCCGATCCTAATTCCTCGCGTTCACTCACCACCCCTGCTCTTAAAGCCCTGAGGTTAGCGGAAGCAGCTATTCAAAAACAGGCCATCACCTTTGTTTCCTATAAGGAACCCCTCTCCCTTGTCATTTTTCCAACCTCGCATACACCCACAGGGTTATTTTGGCAAAAAGGACAACTTCTTTGGGTCCATTTACCTGCTTCCCCCTAAAAGGTCCTTACCCCCTATATCTTCTGGGTAGCTAAACTTTTGCAAATAGGTAGAGAATAAAGCATAAAGGTTTTCAGCAAAGAGTCTGATAAAATCATTCTCCCTTATTCTTCGGCTCAAATTTCATGGCTGATGCAAAATGATGATGAATGGGCCATATCTCTTGTTGCCTTTCAAGGCATCCTTGATAATCATTATCCTGCTGATAAGCTGCTTCAATTTTTTAAGATCCATCCAGTAATATTTCCCCAAAAAACCTCCCCCGCCCACTTAATAATGCTAGTCTAGTTTTTACTGATGGGTCTTCCAATGGGACCGCCGCCTTTACTATTGATAATGTTACCTGGAAAACCTCCTCTCCTTATAGATCTGCACAGCTAGTGGAACTTTATGCTGTCCTACAAGTCTTTATGAGATGCCCTGATATTCCCTTTAACCTCTTCACCGATAGTTCATATTTAGCTTCCTCTATCCCCCTATTAGAAACTGTTCCATATATTAAGCCCACCACTAATGCCACCCCGCTTTTTGCAAGACTTCAACAACTCATTCATATGAGGAGTCATCAATTTTTTATTGGACACATTCGCGCACATTCAGGCCTCCCCGGACCCCTAGCTTTTGGAAATAATATAACAGATAAAGCCACCCACATATTCCTTTCCACTATTCCTGATCCTATTAGTCAGGCACAAGAAGCCCATATGCTTCATCATCTTAACGCCCAAACCCTACGTCTCCTTTATAATATTACCCGAGAGCAAGCCAGACAAATTGTTACACAATGCCAAAATTGTGTCATCCATTTGCCCTCCCCCCACCTAGGAGTCAACCCTAGAGGACTCATCCCCAATGAAGTCTGGCAAATGGACGTTACACATGTCCCCTCTTTTGGCAAACTTAAATATCTTCATATCACTATTGATACCTTTAGTGGATTCATTTATGCTACCCCTCATATGGGAGAAGCCTCCAAAAATGTTATCTCCCACGTTTTGACCTGTCTTAGTATCATGGGCAAGCCCAATACTATCAAAACAGATAATGGCCCAGGGTGTACTGGAAAGAATTTTCAAGATTTTTGCAAGCGATTACAGATATCACATATAACAGGTATTCCCTACAACCCACAGGGCCAAGGTATTGTTGAAAGAGCTCATCAATCCATCAAAAATACCTTACACAAATTAAAAACAACTCATCTTTATCCCATTGTCAGTTCCCCCCAAAATATTTTATGCCATGCCTTATTTGTTCTCAATTTTCTTGTTTTGGACGTCAAAGGAAAATCAGCTGCAGACCGCCTCTGGCATCCACACACTCAAGAGAATTATGCCAAAATCATGTGGAAAGACCCACTTAAAGCCACATGGAATGGCCCTGACCCTGTTCTCGTCTGGGGCCCTCAGTCACGCTTGTGTCTTTGACGCAAAAAACAGGGCCGCTAGATGGCTCCCTGAACGGCTTATTAAACAGATAGATACATCAAATAATCAATCCCCTTGTCCAGGCGAAGGAATTCCCTGAGACCCTGTAAGGAAAGTTAAAACTTTAAGTTGGAAAGGCTTGGGATAAGGCATTTGACTCTCTAAGGTGCGTAATCACTAGTTCACCTCTTCTTTTCCTGGATACCTGGCCAGTTCCTGGGAAAAAACAAGGAGGACTTTGTTAAAAAGACCAGATGTTCTTAACATCAAGATAAGGAATGTGATGCATTCTGCCCCTCCCGGACCCCTGGCCAGGGCCCAGTTGGGACGTGACTGCAAGCACATTCACCTTTTTTCATGCCAAAAGTACAGATATATTTACTACCTTTGTCTAGAGAGCTATATAAACAGCCCACCTAGCCCAGGCTGCTGCTGCTGTCTTACGCCCGGGATTGAGACTTGTAGCCGAAGGGACTGCTGAAGAGACCTGTGCTGTGTTGCGAGTGATGAACCTAATTCCTCTAACATTCCGGTGTTGTTGCCAGAGAGCCTAAGGGTAATTTCCCGGATAGAGTCCCTCTTGCTGTTAGAGGACTCTCCTCTTTCTCTGTCCTCTCCATTCTTACTTTTGTTTTCTGTATGCGCATATCCTTCAATAAACTTTCCCTTTTGTACTTATTTAAGGCTGGTGGACGTTCTTTTAGCGGATCGAGCCAAATTAATTAGGAGACCGTGCGGCAAAGGGCAATAAATAAAATTTGTCCTTACAAATTGGCGTAGTCGGCAGGACCCGCTGAGACAACGCAGCCATGCCTTTCTTTCGTAAGAAAACTAAAAAAATCGCCTGTGTTACTTGTGATGTTCCTGGGTGGGAAGATCCGCAGTTTGCCTCCTTAGCCAGACAATGGGCTATGGGAACAGATTTAAGTGAGAATTGGAGTGGCAAATTGCAGCAGGCAAATCCTCCCCAGGTTAGCGAAGTGTTGGGAACTGTTCCGGTAGAAAAAGGAGCTGAATTAACTGCCATCTCTCGCCGAGGATGGATTTTGTTGTCTGCTTATCGGTGTATATGTCAGAAAGTAGAATCTTTGATACAAGAAAAGCTTACTTTAGAAAAAGAAAATGCCAAACTACAGAGTAAATTGGCTATGTTACAGTGTCAGAATTTTATATTGGGGGATCAAGCTCGTGGGTATCAGTCTGTAGCGGAAAAAGCTGCCGTTCGCTGCACTCAATATAAATATAAGAGGCGCGGACGAGTTAACTCCCGAAAAGTACATGCTGCTATCGCTACAGCTGGAGTAAATTGGGACCCTGATACTTGGGATGGAGATATTTGGGATGATACTGATGATGATGATGTTAATTGGGATGATTTAGAGGAAAAGGCACATAGATATGACCAAGAAAAATATCCCCCACGAGTGCAATCAGGCCCACTGCAAGCTAAACCCCTCCAGCGGTGGCAACAGAGAGTTAGGGGAGATCAAAGAGAGTATACCGTAATTACTGAAGATTTTTCCCAGCAAGAAATTACTGATATTTTAACCAAATTCTCCCAAAAGCCTGGAGAATCCTTGTTAAATTGGATGATTAGAATAACTGATACTGGAGCTGGAGGAATTAGTGTGGATCATGTGGATGCCCAAAAATTTCTTACAATCTCCACTAATCCTTTTGTTCAAACTGCTATTCGAGACTATGAGCCTGGCGATCCAGCTGAGTCCTCCACCTCTGTGTTAACTTTGGCCACTAGGGGATGTATTGCGCAATATCCTACTGATGGGTCATGGCCGACTGAAACGCGTCCATGGTATACTTTAAAGGATGGCATGGCCCGTTTAAAAGGAGAAGCCATGAAAACGGCTATTATGCTAGGACAAACAGACATGTATTTGGCGAGCCCTCTGGCGGCTACCCAGCGTAATTTGATAGTGCCCACTGCTCCTCCTGCTTATAAACATTTAATGATGACTCTTTTGTTGGCTGAGACGGGGTCCCCTATTGAGCCAGTGTTAGAAAAAATGGCAGAGATAGGGGACATGGGAGAATGGAACAATACTGCTCCCTCCCTGGAAAAAACAGATTATAACAGAACTTCAAGTGGAGCTAATGGAATACAGAATCGAGTTCCACGAAAGGAAATATTTCAAGCTCTCTTAAAAGTGGGAGTGCCTAGGGAGAAACTGGATGGCATTCCTACCAAGGATATGTGGCAAATGTATAGGGATCAAGTGAAAAATGCTAAAACTCGAAAAGTAACTCTGGCTGATAATCAATCATCTAATTCATTTTCTGTGGTGCCCACTGCTCCCCCTGCTGGATCGCCTTCCCTTTATCCCTTGGATGAACTTACTCGTTTAAAATAGGGATGTGGCCAAGCCCCTGGAGATTCACCTTGTTACAAAACAGTGTCTAGAGTTGATTTAAGACCTCATGTCCCTCTTACAATTTATTGGAAAAATGGATCGCAAACCCAGGTTAGGGCCTTAATAGGTACAGGGGCGGAGGCCTCTTTGATATATGGAAATCCTGATAAATTTAAAGGAACTACTTTGACTATTACAGGATTAGGTGGTGCTGAGGTACAGGCAAAACAAACTAAATTAATGATGAAAATTGGGCACTTGCCCCGCAGGGAATATTCAATAGTAGTAGTTCCCATCCCAGAATATATAATTGGAATTGATATACTTAGAGGAATGTCTTTAGCATTGGATGATGGAAATTATCATTTTGCTGTTCGTGCTTTTAAAATTTATCATATAATTGTGGGAAAATTGCATCAGACTCCTGTGTCATTGCCTGAGCCTACTAAAATTATCTCTTGTAAACAATATCGAATTCCAGGAGGCCATGAAGAAATAGCTCAAACTATTAAAGATTATGTTAATACAGGTGTTATGATTACTGTTACAACTGAATGGAATAATCCAATATGGCCCGTTCGAAAATCAGATGGCTCATGGAGAATGACAGTAGATTACAGAGAGTTAAATAAAGTTACCCCACCCCTCACAGCCGCAGTGCCAGATACTGTTACCTTAATAGAAAGAATTCAGCGTCACCCTGGAACTTGGTATGCTGTAGTAGATATAGCTAATGCTTTCTTTACTATCCCTATTTGTGAAAAACAATGGCCCTATTTTGCCTTCACATGGTGGGGAAGACAATATACATTTACCCATCTACCTCAAGGATATAAACATAGCCCTACTATTTGTCATAAATTGATAGCTGAACATTTAGATGAATATGAGTTAGACTCAACTACTATGATTACTCATTATACTGATGATATATTAATCCAATCCCTAACTCAAGAGAAAGTGCAAGAACATCTTGATAAGATTATTGAACTATTAAAGAAAAAAGGATGGGAAGTTAATCCACAAAAAATTCAAGGACCCTCTCAAGAAGTACAATTTTTAGGAATTTAGTGGAATCAAGGAGCTAGAAATATATTACCTAAAGCGAAACAAAAGGTTTTAGATTTTGCTGTTCCTAAGACTAAGAAAGAAACTCAAAAATTTATAGGACTATTTGGATATTGGCGAAACCATATTCCTCATTTGGGTCAAATTTTAAGGCCATTGTATAAAGTAACTAGGAAGAAATATGAATTTGAATGGGGACCAGAACAGCAACAGGCATTTGAGGCTGCTAAGGCTGCTATCCAAGCCGCCCTAGATCTTTGGCCTATTTGAGAAGGGCCCATTGAATTGATGGTGTCAGTAGAAGATAACTATGCTAATTGGAGTTTATGGCAAAAAATTGAATCCAAAAGAATGCCCCTGGGATTTTGGACCAGAAAATTACCAGAAGCAGGTCAATTATATACTCCTTTTGAACAACAATTATTGGCTGCATATTGGGCTTTGGTAGAAACTGAACAATTAACAGTAGGCCATACAGTGTTGTTACGTCCCCAAATTCCCATTATGCAATGGATTATGCATGACCCAGCTTCACATAAAATTGGACATGCACAAGAGAGCAGTATAATCAAATGGAAATGGTATATCCAAAATAGAGCAAAACCTGGACCAACTGGAGTTCTAACTCTACATGAACAAGTGGCTGAAATAGAAGGACAATCTCATGATGTAAAAATACCATGTATGATAGAAATTATGTCTCCTGTGAAAATGGGAAATGGATATGATACTTTGACAGAACAGCAGAAAAAACATGCATGGTTTACTGATGGCTCTGCTAAGTATATAGGTCATCAAAGGTATTGGAAAGCAGTTGCTTATAACCCTTATACAACTTTGGTTTTAGAAACCCAGGGAGAAGGAGCCAGTAGCCAATTTGCTGAATTACAAGCTGTATATCAAGCTTTAAAACATGAAACAGGAAGTGAATGTCATTTTTTTACAGATTCATGGGCAATTGCAAATGGACTTACTACTTGGATGCCACGTTGGTATAGAGATAATTGGAAAATTCATGGAAAAAATATATGGGGCCATGAAATATGGAATGAAATATGGCAAATTGTGCAAAAAACTAACGTGTCTGTTTTTCATGTAGATGTTCATAGCACCTTGAATTCTACTGACCGTAAGTACAACGCTGAAGCTGATCGATTAGCTACAATTGCTGAAGTGAATCTCCCTCCTCCCTTGGAAGGATTGGCAAAATGGATCCATACCAAAACAGGACATGCAGGAACTCACACTATGTACAGGTGGGCACAAGACCGAGGACTATCCACACCTTTGTCTGAATTAAAGCAAGTAGTAGAGCAATGTCCTACATGTCAATTGGACAGAAAGCGAGCGCTTCCTCGTATAATAACTGGAGAATTGCATAGAGGACAAGCTCCTGCACAAATTTGGCAAATTGATTATATAGGTCCTCTTCCACAATCAAGGGGATGTCAATATATTTGCAATTGTGTGGATACTTATTCGGGAGTGCTAGTCGCCTGTGCATACCATAGAGCTGTGCAAAAGAATACTATTAAAACTTTAGAGATAATTGCATTGTATTATGGAATGCCAATGCAAATTCAAAGTGATAATGGATCCCATTTTAAAGAAAAAGAAATACAAGATTATGCTGAACAAAACAATATTGAATGGATCTATCATATTCCTTATTGTCCACAAGCTGCGGGCTTAATAGAAAGAATGAATGGTTTGCTGAAAGAAAAACTTAGAAAACTAGGTAATAATTCTTACAATAATTGGAAAGATAATTTATTTGAAGCCTTGCAGCAATTAAATAACCGGCCCATAGGACCGGGACTAACTCCATTTATGAGAATGATGACGCCTAACTTACAGATAAGAAAGATCTATACTTTTCAAGAAGTACAATGGTGGAAAATAGATGAGAAGGCAATTATGCCTTTTAGAGCTGCCATTGGATCTTCTGGTCATGATTTACATGCTTTAGAAGAAATATGGATAGATCCCCAAAATATATTAAAATGTAGGACGGGGATAGGGATCAAAATCCCACAAGGATACTATGGACAAATTACTCCCCATTCTAGTCTGGGTGAAAAAGGAATCCAAATTTTAGCCGGAATAATTGATTCTGATTATAGGGGAGAAATTAAGATAATTCTTTCTAATATAGGAAAAGGAACTTTACATTTTGTTCCTGGAACTCGAATTGCTCAATTATTGATCGTTCCTTGTGCAACAGCTAAGGAATGGACTTTGTTAGATAAGCCTCCTCCAGTAACCAGCAGGTTAGGAGGTTTTGGATCAACTAATTTGATCCCTGGAGCTAAAGTTTGGCTCAAGAGACATGATGGAGATAAACCACAGCCTGCAGAAGTCATTGCTCAAGGAGATAATAATGCAGTTATTATTATGCTTCCAGGTCAAGAACACTACTTAACTGTCCCCACTAATCAACTTTTTTAAAGAAATTAGCTTTTCAGATTGCTTTGCTTCTCAGGACTGATGATTACTGTGCTTACCTGGACTCCAGGACTTCAATTTCAACCGAAGAACACACCTAGTACTATAGTTCAATGGCAATTCGGATGGAAAAATTCTGACAGAGATTGTCAACAAGATTCCTATGTTTGCCCTGCTATATGGTGAATTTTACTGCTAAATCCAGTGATAATATCACAATGGGAACTCACTCCAAATATAGACTTGTTTTATTTGGTTCTTCTCCTGTCAATATAACCATTAGTTCTCTTGTGAATATTACTTGTTGTTTTATAAATATATCTGCTCACTCCATCCAGCAAAAGACATGGCAAAGTACTGCAGATGCAGTAAAATATTGTATTAGTAATCATAGTGAAGATAAATATACAGAATATATGATTAATGTTACTCAGTTTATTGTGTGCACCAATGTTACTCCAATTACAAATAGAATCACATGGGCAGATTTGATATGGGTGTCAATTAGTCAACCTCTTACTAAAATTCCTCAAATTGTGAAAATCCCTAGAACCTGTACAAATGTATCTGCTATTGCCCCTAAAAGAATAATCCATTTCAATTTGACTTTTCCTCTAATACCTGATTGTCAAAGAGTTAAACGTGTTTGGTATGATACCCTTTTAGGAGGATTGGGATCTGGTTTTGGGATAGCTAATTCAATAGATTTAGAAGTTTTGGTTCACAGATTAAAAAATACTGGGCGAGATGTAGGAGAAGCTATAACAGTTAATGCTCAATGGTTGCCAACTACTATTTTACCTCATGAAAATACTTTAAATTATCAAACGCATATGTTACGAATATTTAATGACACCATCATAAAACAGTATAAGTTAAATACCAATACCTCTGCCTTATTCAATTGGACCATATGTTCCCTGCAAAATTTATACATTTTGATACAAAAAGAAAATGCCCAAAGAGTACTTACATAAGGGAACCCTCGAATTTGGCGTTCGTTCTTTAGTTTACCTGAAACAGTTTGGGTGATGTCAGACACTTCTTTTGTAAATTGTACTGATCTTTGGTGTGTAAGTGCTATTGTATATTATACTCCTATACAAACTAAAATTTTGTGTGCTTTTCACACATCGCCTATAGTAGTAGAATATCACTTTTTACATCCTCAAATAGAAGGTACACATATAGATAATGATAATGTTACTTATAAATTAGAAGAATGTGTTCCTACAGATAGAGATCCCATATGTAATGGTTTAACCCGAATAGTAGAACCATGTCTGTTATCTCATTCCACTAATGTTTGTCTTCTTACTGTGTATCCTGTTGCTAACTATTCTATTTTATATGAGGTGGAACCCCAACACATATGTTTAGCAGGCTCCAGTGAATCAGAACTCTTCAATGTGGGACTGCCCTCTCCTTTCTCAGGATGTCTGCAGCATCTTGAGTTGCTCCATTGGAACGGTGCTGTTTATTATTTATTGCCTGATCTAATGGATGATGTTACTCTTCAATGGATGCCAAAATATCTGAAGCCACCTCATATATATATTTAGATCTTTCTTTAGCTGAAATACTTCGTAATTCTGCTGAGCTAAAGGCCCACCTACGAAAAAATGAAAAGGCTTTAGAAGAACATAGAATAGCTACTACAATTGTTAAAAATAAGTTAAGTCTGCACAATGCAGTTATACAGGATGCCAATCACAGGTGGTGGGATTTTCTGTTCACTAGTTCTACTGCTCAACAGTATTTTTCTGTGATATTTATGCCTGTATTATTGATCATTTTGGCTTTAATAATTCTTTGTATCTGTAATTGTTGGATGTATCAAAAAATGAACAAGTTATATCAATCTTTTGTATTACAAAAGTTCCATGTTAATTATGCCTATGCCTCAACCCAACCCTAGGACCAAATGTAAGGAAAGTTAAAACTTTAAGTTGGAAAGGCTTGGGTTAAGGCATTCAGCTCTCTAAGGCGCGTAATCACTAGTTCACCTCTTCTTTCCCTGGATACCTGGCCAGTTCCTGGGAAAAAACAGGGAGGACTTTGTTAAAAAGACCAGATGTTCTTAACATCAAGATAAGGAATGTGATGCATTCTGCCCCTCCCGGACCCCTGGCCAGGGCCCGGTTGGGACGTGACTGCAAGCTATTTACACCTTTTTTGCGCCAAAAGTACAGATATATTTACTACCTTTGTCTAGAGAGCTATATAAACAGTCCACCTAGCCCAGGCTGCTGCTGCTGTCTTATGCCCGGGATTGAGAATTGTAGCCTAAGGGACTGCTGAAGAGACCCATGCTGTGTTGTGAGTGATGAACCTAATTCCTCCAACATTCCGGTGTTGTTGCCAGAGAGCCTAAGGGTAATTTCCCGGATAGAGTCCCTCTTGCTGTTAGAGGACTCTCCTCTTTCTTTGTCCTCTCCATTCTTACTTTTGTTTTCTGTATGCGCATATCCTTCAATAAACTTTCCCTTTTGTACTTATTTAAGGCTGGTGGACGTTCTTTTAGCGGATCGAGCCAAATTAATTAGGAGACCGTGCACGGCAAAGGGCAATAAATAAAATTTGTCCTTACAGACCCCTCTTTCCTCTCTCGCAGGACACAAATCCAACCCGACCAATGACAACACGGCGACCTCTTCCCACTTCAACTATGAAGTTTCAATTGTTGCTGTTGATGGCCCTCATCAAATCCACCCACTGTGGGTTTGGAAATCCACACCACGCCCGTCAGCTTCTGCAAGGAATGCAAAGTCAACCTTGTCAATGTTTTGGAGGGACCTCCAAGAGCTTTACAATTCCTCCTATGGGGACTTATTCCTCTCAGGACTGTGGGGACAAAATGGCATACCTTCAGTATGCATCTGGGGCCAAATGGAAATGTATACCAAAGCCTAAGCCATTGCCTAAAGTTAATGGCAAAAACCCCGATTGCCCTTGTACAACATTTAAACAATCCATACATAGTTCTTGTTATTCGAGCTATCAAGAATGTAGCCATGAGGGAAAAACTTACTATACCGCCACCCTAACAAGAACCCGTTCGGCCATTTTAGGAGGTGACTGGTCCAATAACCCACAAGTCCTTGGGCATACCAATAAGCTCATGACCGCAGGGTGTGACGGGACAATAGGTCAGCCCGTCTGCTGGTCCACGATACCCTCTATCCATATCACAGATGGAGGCGGCCCACAAGACCAAGCCAAACAAATACTCACCAAAAATCACATTAATCAAATTATAGAAAGTCAATTTCTCTCCCTTACATATCACCCCTTTGTAAAAATTCATTCTACAATGGAGGAAAAAATAGATGCAGCCACTCTTGATATGCTAAGCCTCACACATCAACTTTTAAATACTACCAACCCTTCATTAGCACAGGATTGTTGGCTTTGCCTCAATCAAGGGTCCCCTGTTCCCCTGGCAGCTCCCCTAACAAATGTCAGTTTCAGTACCTCAACAACAAATTGTTCTGCCACCACTCCGGTTTTGGTATCTTTATCCGCTTTTGAACCATTCTTAAATTCTACCCCAGCTTGTATATATAGTCCAGCCTTAAATGATACTTATGATATAGATGTGGGATTTATTACCTTTGTTAATCTTACTTCTTGTGTTAATATTTCTGATCGCCCTATCTTGTGTCCCCAAAATTCTTCCATTTTTGTTTGTGGTAATAGTTATGCCTATTCCTTTTTGCCCCAAAATTGGACAGGAGTTTGTATAACTGCCATTATTCTCCCAGATATTGATATTATATCTGGAGATACCCCTGTTCCCATCCCCACCTTCGATTATATATCTGGTAGACATAAAAGAGCTGTTCAACTCATTCCCTTATTGGCTGGCCTAGGGATTTCCGCGGCCATTAGCGCAGGAACTGCTGGTCTAGGCATTTCCATTCATAAATATGCCAAATTATCCCAACAATTAATTGATGATGTACAGACCTTGTCTGAAACCATGCAACATCTTCAGGATCAAATTGATTCCCTCGCGGAAGTTGTCCTGCAAAATAGGAGAGATCTAGATTTGTTCACTGCCGAACAAGGAGGAATATGTCTCGCACTTCAAGAAAAATGTTGTTTCTATGCTAATAAATCAGGTATTGTCAGGGATAAAATTGAAACCCTACAAAAAGATTTAGAGAAACATAGAAGGGAATTATATGAAAACCCCTTCTGGAATGGACTTAATGGTTTCCTGCCTTATCTCCTCCCCTTGTTGGGGACATTATTAGGACTCTTACTATTGTTATCCTTAGGACCTATATTGTTTAATAGACTTGTGGCCTTTATTAAACAACAAATAGATACCATGCAAGCCAAGCCTATCCAAATTCATTACCACCGCCTCGATCTGATTGATCAGGGCTATCTGGAGGAAAATAGCTCGCCAAGCTCCTCCTAAAAGGATAGCCCTCACTATAGTCCTGAAAAGCCTCCATGGAACCTGTCAGCACCCAGAACTGACATATCCCAGAGCGGATATAGGCACCTACGGAGGCCCGGGACAAAGTACCCGGGAAAGGATAAGACAAACATAATTGTCCTTCTGGGTCCTTTGAGGAGCAAGCCCGATTGCATGGGGGCCGATGCCTAAAGTCCAGTACTAATCTGAGACTGCCCCTCCCCGAAAAGTAGCATCAAGAGAAACACCGGGGATCTGGCCTCTACTCCCCCTCTATGGTTAAAGCCTACCAGAAAATCAGGACTCCCCAAGTTACTCCTCCTACCAATCGGTTCCCGTTATGCTTGCATTCTATTTGTCTTTCTTTATATTGTAATAGGGGAGGAGATGTAGGAAGCCAAGCATGCCTTCTCAGAATCAAGAGAACATCTCATGCAAGCTCAACCCCACCCAGAAACCAGCTATGGCTCAAGCAACGGTATTTTTATCTTCGCAAGAACATCCTGTTTCAGTAACTTCGCCCCTTTGGAAACCCCCTAAAAAATGTACCGCCCCTCCTGCCTCTACCCGCGCCTTTCTTCCCCGCTGTCTTGCCTTTAAACAGCTGGGCATAATGAGAATAAACGAGACCTTGACAAGCCTGTGCTTGGTCTCCTTTCTGTGTCTTCTCTTGTCCTATTTCTAGGTATCTCCCCCTCTCGAGCCCTTCTAATTACTGACCCCGCTGGCCGGGGCACCTTCCAAGAGTCCAAATAATAACCAGTCAAAGAGATAACCAGTCAAATAACAGTTTTTCTCAAAAATTTATGCGAGCCAGGCATGGTGGCGCATGCCTTTAATCCCAGCACTTGGGAGGCTGAGACAGGAGTATTGCTGTGAGTTCCAGGTCAGTCTCTACATAGTGAGATCCTGCCTCAAACAAACAAACAAAAAACAAAAACGAAAAAACCTTATGTGATATATGTGTTATATGTGTCACCACTCTTAGGGATGCTCAGATGCCAAACAGTCAAAACAATATCACACATTAAAATTAGAGGCTAGACATGAACTCCTAAGGTACATTTACAGGCCAATATGTATGCTCTCCTTAGATGGCATCCTACTAAAGGATAACAAATAAGAGTTTTGTTTATGTCATTTAATGTCTTGTGATCAGATGGAGGTGTTTGACAGAAAGACTATTCCATACCAAATGGATATGTAAGTGTCACAAAGACAATGTCATCATGATTGTCACAGTAAAATACTATGTGTGACTCTAGATCTTCAGTTTTTCTATATAATATATAACTGTCGTCTGTTAACATTCTGCAGGGATTCAACAACCATGGGTGGTAAGAAATAACAGTCCCTATAACTGTGCTTTACACTTCAAAGTGCTTAATGTCCAGACAAAATTATAATCGTTAAGCTCACTGCTCCTACTGCGCCACTAATGTCACTGATCTTCTCTTCTGGGTGTTCAACACCTAAACTTTGGAGAGCAAGGCTAGAATGGTAACTGGACCAAGAGGACTGCCAATATTTTGGCCCTAGCTCCTCAAGGTCAACAAAGAACACAAGACATGAGGGAACCTTTTCTATAGGATCCTATATCTTTGGTAAGTCACCCAACCTCCTGAGCAGGGAAACTGCTGGACATCACAGGACAAATGTACTGTGCACAAAGGAGGATCACCAAGAGGGAAAAGTCTCCCATGCTTTCACTGAAAGCAACATGGTCAAGCAAGGCTGTGACCCATCCTGATGGCTGACACTGACAGAGGAGCGGAGGGGCTCTATGCATGGTTCCATAATAAAGCCTGAGGATACTTCAATGACCTAGATAGATAGCAAGATGTTCATAGTGTTTGACACAGGTCTACTTTAACTTGGTCTGAAACACCCAGCAGAAAAGAATAACAAAAAGTGGTATAAAATAATGCCATAGTAATAAAGCTAGATATAAAAAGGGGCTCCAGTTACTAACCCCTTCTGGCAGTTTCCAGCTCTACCAGTAGCTGACCAAGGTTATGGATCATTAGGAAAAACTACAGTAAAATCTATAAGAGCTCAGCAGCTAGAGTTTTAAATTTCTTAGCAAGTTTTTTTCTTCAAATTGTCTCATCTTACAGCTAAAACTACAGAGACTTATGACAAAGTATCAGACTAATAAATAATTTCATCAATGAACGAATCTAAGAGCCAGCAGGCTACAATCACTATTTCAGTTTCTTTTCTTTCTTTCTTTCTTTTCTTTCTTTTTTTTTTTTGGTACTGGGGATTGAACTATTGAACTCAGGACCTTGCACTTGCGAGGCAGGTGGCGGCACCACTGAGCTAAATCCCCAGCCCCCCATTTTTGTTTCTAAGTGTGACTTTCTCCCCAACTTATCCTTCCATTTGAATATGCTCATGTTTAGATTATACATGCTCTGATTTCCTAAAAGTTTTGTTTATTCTTTCTTAGAGGCTGCCAAACTCCAAGCAGTCATACAAATGAAACCAATGAAAAATGTGCTAGACTTCTTTTACCAGGACCCACCAGATCAACCTTATAAACAGCTCATAACTGCTAAACTATACAGTATGACTTGTATGATGATTCTTTTTTTTTTCATTAAGTTTATTGGTACATTTTGGTATACAGTACAGTTACATTCATCATTGGGATCTTGCACCTTTACATGACAGGTCTTGGTTCTCATTTTTTCGCCATAACTTGCCCTCCCTTTCCCCCCTTCCTTATTTACAAATATATTGCTTTCATTTTTTCCTTTTCTCATATTTTTTCCTTTCTTTCTACTTCTATGTTGATTCTGAAGTCCCCTGGACCTTCTCTTATTCTCTTTGTGGGAGGCTATTACTAGTTCCTCCTGGTGGAAACACTTTTTGTCTATGTTCATAGTAATCCTGCTGACCTTATAATTTGGCCCATGTGCTCTTTTTTTCCCTTTGGTACCAGGGATCAAACTTGGGACCTTGAGCTTGTGAGGCAGGTGATGGAACCACTGAACTAATTCCCAGCACCCCCCCCCCTTGCAGTACCAGGGATCAAACTCAGGACCTTACGCTTGCAAGGCAGGCCCGGTGCCACTGAGCTACATTCCTGGCCACCATTCTAATTTTGCCCGAGGGCTGAAAGACAGGTACACTTGGACTAAAACTTCTATATTTCTCTTTTGTTTGTTTGTTTGTTTGTTTTGGGTTTTTTGAGACAGGGTCTCACTATGTAGTTGAAACTGACCTGGAACTCACTATGTAGCCCAGGCTGGTCTTGAACTCATAGCGATCCTCCTGCCTCAGCCTCCCCTCCTGAGCACTGGGATTACAGGCATGCGCCACCACACCCAGCTCTGTTTCTCTGGCTCTGTCTCCTCCAGACTCCAAGCTATCCAGCTACTAAAATGACAATGCCTGGTGCCTATCAAAGGCCTTTACATCCACCTTTTGTAGAGTAACTCTAACTGCTGAGCACAACTCTGGCCCTTTTCAGCTGGAAGTAGCTAGAGCTGTCTTCACCCTTTGCCCCTTCACAGCAGTCAGGAGTGCTTCTTCAGAACGGGGAATATATCATAAGTACAGTTGCTTAGGTAATATTGGTTCACTGGGAAATCACAAGGTGGACATGAGGTGGGACAGAACTGTGATCAGTCAATAAGATTACAGCAAGCATAGTTGCTTAGGTGTCAGTGATTCAGTGGGGATCCAATGGGGAAGTGAGTCACATAGCAAGCCCACAAGGAATGAACAAAGATTTTCAGTGCAGAAAGGGTGAGGAACCTTTCCTGTGAGGGATGGATTAAGGCCTTGGTCCCCCATGCAGGTAACTGATACTTATTTAGATTATCAGTCAATGCTATTCATCCCTAGGGAAGTATGGGGGTGTAGTAGCTTCTCTCTTTTTATAATGCTAACCAGGGAACTTGCCTCAATTGTTTTTCTATGCTGAGAGTCCGGCTTTGTCTAACTGCCTTGTAATAATTTCGAACTATCTTAGCCATTTGCAATACAAGTAGCTACATGTATTGAAGATTGTGGGACTGTAGCAGGAACAGGAAGAACAAGGCGAATTTAAAGGGTCAGACACCCCCAACTCCAGGTGCCTCCCCATCATGCTTCTGACTCCAGGTGCCTCCCACTCAGGGGAGTGATGATCTGTGGCCTCAGGCATCACAACCTCCTCAATCTAAACCTGGATAATCATTAGCGTGGTGTGTGGTTCACAGCTGAAGGAAGGGAAGGGAGTGACTCAGCTCCTTTGTTTCCAACTGTGCTCAGTGAATAAGCTTACCAGTATAGTGCTTCAGCTAATATTGATCCAGTAGTGAAGTGGGGCATGTAGCAAGGCTATAAGGATGACACCATTACTTTAGTCAATAATCTATGTCTCTTATCTTTAGTCTCAGTCTTAGTTTTAGTCTCAGTGGGTGGGAAAGGAAGGCTCACCCCTAGTGAAGTAATGGCCCATTTCTTTTTGCGGGTACTGGGGATAGAACTAAGGACCTTTTGCTCACCAGGCGGGCAGTGGCACCACTGAGCTAAATCCCTGGCCCAGTAATAGTCTATTTCTATGGGAAATCCTGAAAGACTGGTGCCAATTATAGTATAATCTCAAACAAATTATTCCCTAAGGAAGTATGTAAACCTGGCCATTGTGATTTTTTTTTTTCCCCTCATTGAGTTTATTGGTACATTTTAGGTTACATTCATCACTGGGAATTTACCTGTACCTTTACATGACAGATCTTGGTTGTCATTTTTCCCCATACCTTGCCCTCCCTTCACCCCCTCCTCTCTTCCCTATTAATAAAAACTTTATTTCAATTTTTTCATTTTCCCATATTTTTTTCTTTTCCCTTATTTTGTTTTCCCTACCCTTCCCACTTCCCCTACACCTTTAACCCTTTTCTTCCTATTTCATATTGTCAATTATACTATTAGGATCTTATTTGCAATTATAGTTTTTCACACCAGAGAAACTATTTGGTATTTACACGTGTCCTATTTATTTCACTTAAGAGTATGACTTCAATATGTATCCATTTTCCTATGAATGACTCTAGTTTCTCATTTTTTAGGGCCGAGTAGTAGTCCATTTTATAGAAAAATCACATATTCTTTATCTAGTCTCCAACTTGCAAATGGGCTGTTTCCAAGTTTTAGCTATTACAAATTGTGCCGCTGTAAACATGGGTGAGCATATATCACTGTGGCATGATTCTTTTAATTCTTTTGGAAAGATGCCCAGCAGAGGGATGGCTGGGTCAGAAGGAACCTCTAGTCCCAGCTCTTTCAGGTAAAGTCTAACCTTCATGCGCTCCTTCAGCCAGTTTTGTTTTTGTTTTGGTTTTGTTTTTATTTTATTTTTTTGATTTTTTGAGACAAGGTCCCTCTATGTACTTGAGGCTGACCCGGAACTCACTATGTAGCCCAGGCTGGTGTTGAACTCACAGCGATCCTCCTGCCTCAGCCTCCTGAGAGCTGGGATTACAGGCATACACCACCACAGTTTTGACTTATTCTCAGCTTCTGCACTGACTTCCTTGAGGGCCTATGCCCATCTGTCTGCTTATTAATTTCTACTTTAGCTGCCTATAATACCCAGACGTGTCTTACTGGTTAGAGGTGGGTACCCTTTTTGGTTTCTACAGAGCATATGGTTTTTTGTTTTGTTTTGTTTTGAGACAAGGTCTCTGCTTTGTAGTTCAGGCTGGCTCTGAACTCACTGTGTAGCCCAGGCTGACCTCAGACTCGCAGCGATTCTTCTGCCTCAGCCTCTCAAGTGTTGGGATCACAGGTGTGCGCCCCCATGCCCGGATTATAGAGTTTGCCGTGGGGCGCCCAGAAAACTAGAGCATGTGTGCTTCTGTCTTTCCCTGCCGCGGTTTAGCGTACGAACTGGGAGCTCTCTGTGGGCTTTGGGGCACCAGCTCCCTCCTTTTTTTTTCCTCTGGCCTTCAAGCCCCCTCCTTCCATTAATTTCTGCTCCCTACACTGCCTCTCTCTCTCGAGCCTTCCCCGTTTGCCTGAGGACCTCCGGGGTCAATAAAGGGGCAGGGCCTCGCCCAGGGTCTCATCTCAAGCCACGCCCAGGCCTTGCTACTGCCAGGGGAGCCGAGCATTTCCCCCTTCCCCCAGCCTTGGAGGTAGTTGCACTAGGCAGGGCGCAGAGGGAGCCCAGCAGGATACTGGACCAGGATGAGCCGCGCCCAAACGCCCAGGAAGGAGCTGCTCAGCCCGCCTAGGGTGAGTGGGCCCCGCCACTATTTTGTAGAAATAGAAATTTTGAAAGAAATAAAGGCCGCTACCCTCCACCCACTACCCCTCGGCACTGGAGACAAAACTCAGGACCTGGCACTTACCAGGCAGGCTCGCGGAACCGAGCTCCATCTGTAGCCCAGCAATAAATCTTTATTAGGAATGTTGGAGGGGAGATAATAAAAAAGACTCCAGTTTAGATGCCTAAGGGGGGCATACAATGATGCAGGGGTTCAGACTAGACCCACAAAGGCAGAGCTGGTGGGCTGGGATCCAGCTGATCTTTATCTCAATACCGACATCACAGCTCTGGAGTGGGTATGTGTGCACGCGTGTCTTTTGTAGCTGTGGAGTCTTTATGGCTGAGGGTGCTTCCCTTTCCATGAAAGGACTGTCTCTTTGGTGGTGTCCCTCAGGTGAATCTCAGTCAGCCTTTCCGGGAATCCAGGTGAACACTGGTTCAGGACAATTTCTGGAGACTTTCTGGCATAGTTGAACAACCCAGTAAATTGGCTATCCAGGTGTTCTCAGTCTTGAAGGGGTTGAGACTGTAAATTCAGACACAGTTCATTCCAGTTTTAGTATTTGTGCTGCCAAAGCGAGCACACGGACGTACTTCCTACATGATTAATATCTATATGCAGAGAATTGAGAAGGAATTTGACCCTAAGTTTTAAGATAACAAAAGATAAAAAATGGTCTAGTTTTATTCTGCTTTTGGTTACCAATTGGGCATCTATAGATCCAAGGGAAGAGTCGTGGTTCATAGCAAAAGTGGCTTTTTAAGTCTCTGACCATGGCAACTAAGGCACAAGGTGTTCCAGGATTTGCAAAGAGATTGCGAGTTTTTGGGCAAAAAGAAGGACAGAACTAAGAAGCTTGGAAACTGGGCTGAGACCTTGATAAACAGAGCAAATGGACTGGGATGTCACAGCAGAAGCTGATTTTCTAAGCACCTGGAAATTAGCTTTGCAAAGGACATTTGCATAATTGGACTCATGCTCTGAGACCAGGAGAGATTTAGAGCTCTCTCAGGCCTTTTTGCCCCTGTTTCACAGATGACACAGCTCAAGACAGAGAAGGAAAGGGAACTACCCCAGGCCCAGAGCTAATGACCATGTTTGGTGGGGCAGGTGTTGGGGAGGGGGCCCCAGAGACTGTACTGGAGAGAGACTGAATGAGAGGACGGAGTCCCAGCCCCACTTCCTCTCTTCCCCTCCCTGCTGTGTGCCTCTTCTCTCTGCGTTTCCCTCACAGGATTACAGGGATGTTAAGAGCGCCTGTGAGCCCTCAGTGGCAAAGGAGTAATAGGCGAGCACACGGGGTCAAAGCCTGCAACTTCACACCTACCTGCCTGCTGTGCACAGGTGACCTCGCCTCTGGTGAACCAAGCAGCTCTGCCGAGGAGCCCTGAGGCTTATGGGAGAAAGTCTTAGGCTCCGGGCCTCTTTTGCTCAGCTGTAGTGTTTGGGAGCTGCCAGGATGCACCCTCTGTACCTGGGTAGGAGCTGTTGCCGTGGCAACTGGGCGCTTCCCAGCAGTTGGTTGCATCTGGTGCTCAGTTCAGCCTGGTACTCGGTCTTGGAGGGAGAGCCCGCACACCAGTAGAGAGTGAGGTCAGACCCACCAAGGCTTGAGGACTTTCCTGAGCCCTGGCATGGCTTGTGGCAGAAAGTCGGGGCCAGATTTCCAGGCTCCCCTTTGACTGCACAGATTGCTGTTCATTGGCAGTGTTATTTCTCACTCACCCAGGAGAGGGCGGACCCCTTCCCTTGAGGCTTCCTCTCCCCACCTGTGCCTGTTAGCCCTGTGAGCTCCTGGAGGCTGGAGCGATGTCCTAGGTGCTTAGCACAAGCCTTGGATGTGTAGCGCTCCACAGATTTGTGTTAGGGATGAGTCAGTCAGAGAAAGAAGAGTGGGGGTGAATGTTAACCTGACCAAGAGCTTAAACTGGAATTTAGGGGATGTGAGGTCAAATACAGATACCTGCATTAAAGAGCTGGTTGATTTTAGGCACTTTTCCTTCAGCTGTGCTGTCTTAATCTGTAAAATGGGAATTTGATCCATTCAGAGGCTTGGTTTAGAGACCCTGAGAGGAAGAGTTAGGTCCTGCTTGTTCATCACTGGATCCTAGGTACCCAACACAGTGCAAAAAAGGCATATACAGCAGGGCATGGTAGCGCACGCCTGTAATCCCTGCACTCAGGAGGCTGAGGCAGGAGGATCACTGTGAGTTGAAGACCAGCCTGGGCTACATAGTGAGACCCTCTCAAAAAATCAAAACCAAACCAAAAGAAAAAACATTTTAAAAGTGCTTGTAATATATATATTTCAGTGTGAATGCCTGGTTTAAATTCTCATTACTACATTATAAAAAAATCTGTTATTGGCTGGGAATTTAGCTCAGTGGTTCCACTGCCTGTGTCGCAAGCAGAAGGTCCTGAGTAAAATCCCTGATTAAAAAAAAAAATCTGTTGTACAGTTAAACTTAAATACTGCTTTACATTTGATGGAATAGTTTTGTATGTGCTATATCTTAGTGTTGCCAGCCTGTCATCACTAACTTTGTTCTTGTTATAACTCCTATGAACCCATATTTTGAAAAATATTCATCAGATTCCATTTTTAAGTTAATGAAGGACATAAAGATCGATGATGTAAAAATTTTTTTAGCTAGGCGTAGTGATAAATGCCTTTAGTCCTAGCGCTTGAGAGGCTGAGGCAGGTGGATTCCTGGAAGTTTGAGGTGACCACGGGATCCAAACTAAGACCCTATCTTAACAAACCAAAATGAGTAAGTAAATAAAAATTCTTGGATTTTGCTGGTTTTTTGTTTTGTCTTATTTTTTTCTTCTTGGAACCGGGGATCAAACTCGGGACCTTGAACTTGAGAGACAGGGGGTGGCACCACTGAGCTAAATCTAACTCTTGTTTTTGAGATAGGGTCTTGCTATGTAGCTCAGGGTGACTTCCAACTCAAGGTAATCCTGCTTCAGGCTCTGAAGTGCTGGGGTTGCAGGTGTGCACCAACACACCTGGCCCATAAGTAATATTTCATATTTTATTTATTTGTTTATTTTATTTTTTGTACCAGGGATCAAACTCCAGTCCTTGGGTTTGCAAGGCAGGCGGCGGAACCACTGAGGTAAATCCCTGGCCCTATTTGTTTATTTTTGAGACAGGGTCTTGCTCTGTAGTAGTTCAGGCTGGCCTTACAACTCACAGCAAGCCTCCTACCTCAGTCTCCTAGAAGCTAGGACTACAAACGTGGCACCACGCTCCGTGTCTGAATTTTTTTTGTTTTTTGGTACCAGGGGATGGAACTGGGGTCTGTGTGCTTGCGAGGCAGGCGGTGGAACCACTGAACTAAATCCCTGGCCCATGAATGTATTTTTTAAAAACTACATTCAGAGAAATGTTTCTACCTTTTTACACTGTTTTTTTTAATACTGCTGAACTCAGGCCCTTGGGCTAGCGAGGCAGGCCGCAGAACCATTGAGCTAAATCCCTGGTCCTACTTTCTCTTTTATATTCATAATTCTTTTTTTTTTTTTAAGTAGGAAGATCTATTGGGGAATGGGAATGGGAACAGCAATAGCTCCTGAGAGACAGTAGGTGTCCCAAATGGGTCGCCCAAGAAATACTTCTTCTTTTTTCTTTTTTAAAGAAATACTCTTGAAGGGGGCTTCTTTAACTTTTCTGAAACGTGGAAAATCTACCCCTTTCATTTTATCGTAGATCTGAGCGTCTCAGGTTGAGGCCTCCTGACTGAACTCTGTATTCCTATTTTATAGATGAGGAAACAGGATTATGGCGAGAAAAGGTTTGCCAAAGGGCAGAGGCTTTAGAAGTATTGTGGCTGGGCCTTCCAAAGCAGGTATTAGTGCTAACATTCTATGGTCAAAATGTGAAAATTAAAATGCTTGAATAGTCAGGATAAGGTATCCAAACTTAGGCTGAGGCCATGTAGTAATTTAGTGGGGCCCTGTCTCAAAAGATGGAAAAAAGACCAGCGAGCCAGGTGTGGTAGTGAATAGACCAGTAATCCTAACACTCAGGAGGCTGAGGCAGGAGGATTTTTGTGAGTTCAAGATCAGCCTGGTCTACATAGTGCATTCAAGGCCAGCCCTGAACTACATAGCGAGACCCTGTCTCAAAAAAGAGTAAAAAATCCTGGCCTGGTGGTGCATGCCTATAATCCCAGCACTTGGGAGGCTGAGGCAGGGAGGATTGTTGTGAGTTCGAGGCCAACCTGAGCTACATAGTGAGTTCCAGGTCACTCTCAACTACATAGACCCTGTCTCAAAAAAAAAAAAAAAAAAAAAAAAAAGAACAACAACTATGGGAAGTGTCATAAAAAGTATGTCTTGTGTACGTGTACCAACTTACCAAATGAATGTTATCACTATATATTACAAATGTATACAAGTAAAAAAAATTTTGTACCAGTAAAATTATTTCTTTATTTATTTTTGTACCAGGGTTCGAACTTGGGACCTTGTGCTTTTTAGGCAGGCAGTGGCACCACTGAGTTAAATAACTGGCTCAATTTGTGATTTGGTTTTGTTTTTGAATCTAAAATAGAACTCAGGACCTTGCCCTTGAGAGGCAGGCCACTGAACCACTGAGGTAAGTCTCTGGACCCTTAGGGTTTTTTGTTTGTTTGTTTTTTGAGACAGGTTCTCACTATGTAGTTGAGACTGACCTGGAACTCTATGTAGCCC